TTATATATAAAAAAATATATATATTTTTAATGAACAGTCAGTAAAGGTTTCAAAAGCAAGTTATCTATTCCATATTGAGAGTAGTCATTGGAAAACAACTAGTCAAGGTTGTTTTAAAAACAAAAAACCAAAGGGATAAAAAGAACAGCTCAAGTTAATTAGCTTTCTCAGAGATTTATCTTGGGAAATAAGAGCAGGACCTGGTTTTGATATTTTGATTTTTGATTTAAAATTTTTCTGCAGGCTATATATTTTAAACTAGCTATGGGGCAGGAAAAAGACTGATCACAGAGATTGGTGCAGCAAAAAAAAAAAAAAAGTAAAACAGAAAAGCAAGTATCACTATAGTTTAGAATGATAAAGAAACTAGGAATGTTTTAAGGTCCACACATCATTCAGATGAGGAAGAATAACGGAGGTTCATAAAGAGGAAGAAACACATCATTCAATGACTCAACGTCCCTTTCAACATTAGGTGGTAGAAATAAATTGAAGAGGGGACCAGGGAGATAGCTCAGCAGAACCAGCACCTTCCTGGCAAGTGCAAGATCCTGAGTTCGATTTCTGGTACCAAAAACAAAACAGAACAAAACAAAACACAATGTATCAAGAAATAAATTCAAGAGACAACCTACAGAATAGGAAAAAATTTTTGCTAGCTGATCCCGAAAGCACTGATTTCTAGAATACATAAAGAACTTAAAAAAAATTAACTCCCTAAATTTAAAGACCTAATTAAAAAATGTGCATGTGAAATGAATAGACACTTCTCAGATGAACAAGTACGAACAGCCAATAAATACATAAAAAAGGTTCAACATTCTTGGCTGTTCAAGAAACACAAATTAAAACTCAGTTTCTATCTTACTTCAGAAGTCTACCAGTAACAAATGCTGGAGGGGCTGCAGACGGAAGAGAAAGCCTTCTTCAATGTTGGTGGGAATCTAAACTGGTGCAATCACCATGGAAAACAGAACGGAAATTTCATTTGACCTCGCTATTCCCCTTCTGGGTATCTGCCCTAAGCAGTTAAAGATGTCATGTCGCAGTGATGTATGCATGCCCATGTTTATAGCACAATTCATAGTAGCTAAATCTTGGAAGCAGCGTATATGTTCATCAACAGATGAATGGGTAAGGACAATGTGATGTTTATCCACAACAGAATACTACTCTGCCATAAAAAGGGATAAATTTGACTCATTTGTAAGAAAATGGATGCACCTTGAGATCCCGATGTCAAGTGAAGTAACGAAGACACAAGCTTAAATATCACATGGTTTCTCTTATCTAAGAAATCCAATATATAAAGTACAAAATAAAAGACAATAGGAAAAAAGATCAAAGGAGTTACTGTCTCCCATTCACGTACTACCCAGGCCTGACCCTGCTTAGCTACCAAAATCAGAAGAGATCGGGCGTGTTAGGGTGGAACGACTATAAAAGAAAGTTCTTATAACCCAGCACGAACAATGTATTCAGAAATGTACCTTTAGTATAATTATCTTATGTGCTTTTTAAGGCTTTTTTTTTGTCCCATTAGTTTGGTTATTAATTCGACAAGGACTTATAAAATAAATAAATGAATCTGATACTGGCAAAGCTTTACAAAAAAGGGGTTGGAGGGGCAGGGAAAAAAAAGGAATTGAATGTTAGGTAATGACCAATTCCCCACAACCTATGTAATCATTACGTACTGCAAACATGTACTAATACCATTTTTTTTAAAGACTTAACAAAAATTAGGTGGCAGAGATAGTTGCCCCCCAATATCATGTTCCCATACTAACAGAGCTGAGGTAGGTGTGCTGCTCAGACTAGAAAAACACAAACCCATCTCGCAGCCTCTCCAGTGGGAGGGGAGCTGAGTGACTTGCGTCCAAGAAGCTGCAGGAGAGAACAGGCTTCATTTGTAGTCTGTTCATCCCAAAACAGGTGAGCGCCACCACATGCCTTGGGGCTGAGCTCAAGAGAGGTGGGGGAACAAGACCAAGGGCTGCTCTCCGACCCGAGTCAGGCCGTCCTCCTTCCCACGAGGCAGAGAATCGAACAGATGCTCTGCTGCGCTATGATCCTCCCCACTCCCACTTGCAGCTGAACCCAATCCCAGCTAACATGGGGACAGTGCTCGTTTGTGCGGAGGGGATGCAAGGCTGACCTCACCCTCTGCTCGCTCACCTGCCCCATCACTGCAAACATTGGCAGCGTCTTCCCAATACTGCCCTGCTACAGCGATCTTAGTGTAGACACAGGAAAGACACACCAAAGCAGCACTCTGGGAGGCTGAGGCAGGAAGACTGCAAGTTTGAGTCCAGCCTGGGCAATCTGGTGATTTAGTGAGACTGTCTCAAAATAAAAAATGGGTTGGGGGATGCAGCTTAGTGCAAAAGCCCTAGGAACAAAGGATCTGGGTTCAATCCTCAGTAGTGAAGGAAAAGAAAAAAGGAAGAAAAAAAATACAAAACCTGACATCAGAGGATCTGGGTTATAATTTAACATGGGTGACTGCGTCACTCACAGATAAAGAGAACACTAACACAATAGCGCAGGATGCATGTTTACAGACAGTCTGAGTAACAGTGAGTATACTGCTTCAAGTGGTTTGTTACTAAAAGGTATCCACGAATCACTTTTATGCTTGGAAATTCAAGCATAAAACTCAAGCATTCAAATGTAAGGAACACCCACTCTCCTCTTCGGGCACAGGACAATGCCTGAGAGCGCACTTGCCTCAAACCGAAGAGAGTCTGCAGTCTGAAGCCGCACCAGACTTGTCCAAGAAAGCTGCTGCTTATTCTTTAAATGCAACAATTTAAATTTACACTGACAAAATTAAACTACAATTCAGGTTCTGGCTGCACCAGCCACACTTCAAATACTCAGCTGGGACATGTGGGCTGGTGTCGGCAATGCTGGGCAGAGGAGGATTCTGCAGAGCACCGCATGGGACAGTGACACAGGCAGCTGGTGTATGGCCTGACATAGTTGAGACCCCGAGGAAGGGCTCTGAAGGCCGGAGGAGGGGTACCATCTGGTGCCAAGGGAGTGGGAGGCTCTGAAATCTGAATTTCACAGATTAAATGTTTTATGAGTAGATTCTAACAGGGTTTTCAATAATTCCCCTCACAGGTGAGAAAGCAAAAACTCTAAAATATCTAGATATTTTGAGTACAGTGTGAAAACAAAGTATTTCTAGTACATAGAATTTTTCTGCTATGGACAGGAATGCGGCATAGAAATGTGATTCCTTGCTTTAGATTCCTGAATGGCCCTGGACCACAGTGCTCTCTCTAGAGGAAAGAGAAAGGAATCTGAGATTTTTAAAGTGTGACACACACACACACACAGGGATACACATGGAAAAAGAGAATGGTGGTAAAAATAAAAGTGAAGAGGCAGAACAATCACAGAAGTTGAACAAAAAATGCTGCTAAACCACTACTTTAATCTCCTTTTCCTGATTTAGTATGAAGGTAAGGGAGAAATCTAACAAGAGCCTTTTAATTATAAATTAAGGAATGATCTCTACCTAATCTCAACCTTGTCATCTTTGATCCAATCGTTAAGGTTTTTAAATTAAAGTCAGTGAAGTCTGCCTCCCCCAATGCCATCCCTACAGACTCAGAAACACTGCCACCTTGTGAGTGCTGCTGGTATGAGCTGGGCAGGCACACATCTGCCAAAGCTGAGGAGCTGTAGTCTCCCTGCACTACTCTTAGGCACCTTTGAATCAGATTTGCAAAATGCAGACGAGTGCCTGATGAACACCCGCAAAAACAGTTTAAAAAACTGTCTTTTACATGCTTGGACAATAAGGAATGGCTCATTTGTTACTTTAATTCATTAACATTTTAAACTCTAAAAATGTTTCAGACCACAGTGGAAAGACTCCCACTATCACTCTGGCTGGTTGAGTCCCTACAGCCTGGCCTTTAACCTTTGCTCCGGCTAAGCCCGCTGCATAAATGCATGAGCTCCTCACCAAAACCTCACCCGCCAGGACTCTATGCCCATCCCTGGACCAGTTGAGCTGCCTGCCTTCCCCGACAGGAATGCGAGGACAAGAGGTGGAAGACAAGTGGGACAAAAGGCTCCCCAGTTCTCCCGTGCCAGTGAGTGGCCCTCGTCTCACCTTTTCCAGCGGGCAGTGGGTGCTATCTCGGAGAAAGGGTAGCAAGTTGGGCCGGTCGTACTCTGCGTAGAGGCTGATCTGCTTCTCGTGGTAGCGCTGCCCCTTGTGATGGTCTCTCTTGAAGAGCTTGTGCAAGTACTGCGTGGAACACAGGTAAGAGGTGAGCACTGTAATCAGAAAAGCAAGATGCCTGCTCCACACTGCCATGCTCAGCTGTGAACGGCTCCTGTAGAGGCGGGACAGCAGTGGGCAGAGAAAACCTCTAGGTGGCGGAGGAACAGGAAGAAGCCCTCCTGGACAGGAAGGAGATCCTGGAGGGATGTGGCTGCCACCAACCATGGGACCTCAGGCAAGTCACTACCCTCTCCATGACGCAGGTTCCTTACCTACAGAAGTTCTCCCTGAGTTGTAGTGAACGTTAAACGAGTTACCACCTAAAATCACACCAAGCCATGCCTGTCTGTCATCTTCATCTGCTTCACCTCAGAAGTAAATGCTGGATGAGAAGTTTTCCTACATGATAAAAATTCTCTTCTCTCACGTGAAAGGGAGTAGAGTCCAGGGACAAGAGTACATTCTTTGGAACCTTAGTAACAGAAGCTAAACTGTCCGACACTCCATTTCCCCTTTTGTATCTTTCTGAGACCTGTGTTTGTGATAAAACACTGGCTCCATTGGTGACATCAGAAAAACACAACAAAACCAAAGTGAAAATCCAGAACACCAGTGTTCTCATAAGTACTTTCCAAAGCTGATTCCTAACCCTAACTGAAAAAGTTAGAGGACTTCAAAGAAAGTGAATGCTTTCCACTTACAGACAAGATGAAGTCTATCAGTACAGCGCAGAAATTAGAAGTTGACATTCAGTGTTGGAAGTTAAAGGTAAAGAACAGGCCCACAACCTCCTGGAGGCAGGACCAACCACACCAGTGACACAAGGTGCACTCACACCCGGTGTGGCAGTTGCCAGGTGGATGGTACAGAATAGGCACAGAGGGTCAGTCTGGCCCTGACACTGTGACTGTGGTTTGATATTTGCTTCTGTTTCACTCTGACAAATGTATGCACCTCAAGTACTCACTCCTCGGCTAGCTGTTCACATCTCCCTGAGGCAACTGAGGCAAGAAGGGGAGGCAAGAGAAGCAGGAGGGGACTTCTGCTCGTGAGGACTACCAACCACTGACGGTCCCCTGGGGCTGGGGTCAGTGTGTAGACTGGCACTTGTGGTGCTGTGTCCCAGATGCATACAAGAGGATGCAGAGGCCCTGTCACATCTGCTAGCTGACTTGACAGAGGAATGACCTCACCTGGCAGGGAAGGTGAGGCATTTCAGTGTGGCCTCTGCTGTATTTCACACTGCCCTGATTTCAGCCGAATACAGAGAGCTGCTGCCATAACCCTGTCTCATGCCAGAAACCACTGCTTTATAAACAAAGTCCCAGCAGACTGGAGCTATGCTTGGATAAGCAAGTGATCGTGACATTTCTGATCATACACAATAGCATCTTATAACCCTGAGCAAAAAAACCCTAAAGTGGTAATCACAGATAACATACCAGAAAACATATTCCATTAAGGACTTCAACGTATGAACAAATTTCTGAGTACAAACCACCAGGCCTCCTGAGGGGCAAGGAGATGGGTGAAGACAGCTGTGCACTCACTGTACCTGACACTCCTGGTCCTACTGATATGATCGATCCCTATATCCACTGAAGCCTTTTCTCAGAGATAATGTTTAAAGGACTCAGAAAACGTCTACTACTGCTTTGCGTCCACAACAAAGCAACGCACAGCATCAAAGCACCCTCTGAGGAAGCCCAGACTAACAGGCCTTCAAGGCACATCCACCAAGACCATGTGAGAGGTGAGGTCAACTATGGCTAGGGTGAAGCCCCAGACATGAGGGTCTGCTCCCTATCACTGTGTGGTCCTGGAGAACGGCTGTGTGGTACTTCCTCGGTGGGAGGACTTGATACCCACAGTGCACTGCTGGCTTTGGCCACACTTCATGACAGGGTGATGTTTCATGGTAACCACACAAAGAAGCTCATGCACACGCATGATCTGGTAACACAGACATGAACGTTAGCTTTTTAAAATCACGATTCAACTGAAGTCAAAGTTCAAGTGCCCACTCTGCAATTAACCCCTAGCCTTGGATTCAAACAGTATATGCTACATTTTAATAATTTTTTTTTTACATTTTAATAATTCTGCAATACTGTTTGTGGTGAAATCACACCTGGGTGTTGACCTCTGGAAAGGGTTCACTCCATGAAAACTTCTCCACCAATACTGAAAGGTGTGTCACCCACTGTTACCAAAAAGGGCAAAAGAAGAAACCAGTGCTCACCACATGCTGTAACTCTGGTCTGTCCTCTAATTCTTCCACTACCTTTTTAATCTACGAGAAAAAGAAAAATTTAAGCACAGGGTTATGAATATACAAACACAGCTGCAGAAATTATCCAGTGAACACCTTTTTCCTTACAGCTAATGTGGCTGCAGATATTCACCTAGAGACACAATGCTGTGGTTTGAGTATGTCCTGTTCCCCTCCCAAACTCACAATGACACTTGATTTCCAAATGTAACAATACCGAAGGAGGGAGTTAGGAGGGGGGCCTAGCAGGCGGTGGCTGGGCCATGCCTGCCCTGTGAGTGGATTAGGGTGGGTCTCTTAGAATGGGTTAAGTCCCACCAGAGTGGGTAGTTAAAGAGAGCGGGCTCAGCCCCTCCTGTCTATCTTGCATGTGACTCTCCCCAAGGGTGCTGCAGGTCTCTCCCATGTGCCCTTCCTGTCTGTCACATGATATGTCACGCTACCCGCCACTCTGCCAGCAGAACACCGTCACCAGATGGGCTCTCTCAACCTTGTACCAGACCCATGAGTCAAAATAAAACTCTTTCTTTATAACCTACCCAGTCTGTGGTATGGAGACTGGCAACAGAAAACATTTTGGACATATACACAAAAACTTATCAAAAGACACTCACTGAAATTTTATCTTCATTGTCCAAAAGCATGTCAACAGCTTTCTGAAATACAAAAAATAGCCACAGTCATTGGAATCTGCTGTGTAAGAAGAGAACACTAAACACAGCATCACATATAATCCACACAGGTCAAGGTGGAGGGTTCACCTCCTACACCTCAGGTGCACTCAGCTTTAGAATGGTCCTTATGGAAAATGCTACCATGGAGGAACGCATTTTCAAACGTGTCCCGATGTGAGGCCTGTGTGTTCTGTGTTCTACTAGATGGTGCCTTGCTATCACTTAGCAAATACCAAACATACATACAAGAGCCCCCTTGAAGTCTCAGAGACCTTTCCACATTCTCCTGTAACTCTCAGGGGCTGTGGAAAGGGGTCACTACCAAAACCACAAAAATGTGCTTTTCTTTGAACTGCCTCAACCCTAAGTCTCCCTGTAGTAGTTCAGAGACACGAGGGGCTGGTTTCATGTGGAGAAAAGGGGATGAGCCAGAAAAAGAAAAACGCACCTTCAGTTTCAGAGTGACTGAAAGCTTGTGGATTTTTAGGATTTATTTTAGCCAACTCTAACATTTATGAAATCTTAAGCAGTTTACGACACGAGGTCATGGAAAGACAGACCAGCACGGAAATACCTGGGTCCTGTTATGGAGCCTGCTACAGCTCAGCTCTCTGATCCACAGTTTTTGTTCTCCAACATATGAGACTATGCCTAAAGTTTCTTCTCATAAGAAAACTCTGATTCCTTAACTTTAGTTCAATCTCTTGAAGAGAAATTAGTTTCCATTCATTCACATTTTTTCTTGTAGCTACATTTGGAAACCAGATACTCAATACACTGGGGAGGGGAAACTGGATCTGCAGAAAATGTAATTTATTTTTATATAAATATCTCATCCTCTTTGTTATGGTTTGTGTCTGGATGTCCCCCTACAGCCTCACGCAGTCATGGGGTGGGCTTCTAGAGTTTATGTGGTCCAATGCTGGAATTATGGGTGTGAGTGCTACACCTGCCCTTGGGCAGGTAGTTTGCATATGTAAGGGAGAGAAAGAGGCTGCTTGCTGCTCTCCACTATATTTGTTTTTGTTGCTTTTGCTGTCTTCCACCAGCATGAACTACTGCTGCCCTCTGCCATGTGTCACTCTGCCTTGGAGCCAGCCAAGTATGGACTGAAACTTCCACAAACCATGAGCTAAATAAACCTTTCCTTCCTTAATTCTGGCTATCAGGTATTTTGTCCCAGCAATGAGAGAAAAGTAAGACACTCTTAATCACCCTCTGCCACAGAAGCAGAGCCTCTCTACCTGAACATTCTTTACACTGCATCATTCTTTGGCAATCTGCAGTTCCTACAGACTTGATTCAGCACACAAAATGGCCTATAGCATCTTAAAGAGAAGAGGTAGATCCAGATTGGATCTAACTAAGGTTCCACCACTGTGGAGAATAATACTGCACATAGCACTCCAAAACATAGCACGGTAGCATTGGAAAAACACATCGATCCTTTTGGAGCTTTCAGAGTTCTACTTCTTGACTTCTCTAAAATTTTCAACTTTCTCAGGAAGAACATCATGTTATATAAAGTCTGTTATTTCTATCACCAGTACTTTAATTAGATTCCACTTCACACATACATATGTTATGGTTTATATCTGGATGTTCCTCCAACACTTAATGCAGTCATGGGTGGGCTTCTAGAGTTTATGATTGATTCATGATCCAATGCTGGGATTATGGGTGTGAGTGCTATACCTGCCCTGGGGCAGATAGTTTGCATACAATGTAAGGGAGGGAAAGAGGCTGCTTGCTACCATTCCTCCCTTTTTCTGTTGTTGCTTTGCTGTTCTGCCACCATGAACAGTTGTCCTCTGCCATGTGCCACTCTGCCTTGGAGCCAGCCGAATATGGACTGAAACCTCCACAAACCATGGGCTAAATAAACCTTTACTTCCTTAATTTTGAGCATCAGGTATTTTGTCTCAGCAACAAGAGAAAAGTAACTGACACACACACACACACACACACACATACATACCCAACTTATTTCACTTTATAAGAACCACTATGAGCTGTGGAGCCTGGGTGCTTTCATTAGTCAAACAACATACTATTCAAATTTGAACTACAGTAAAATAACACCTTCCACCTGTTCTGGTCCTCCATGTTCTTAAGAATGATGGAAACCCCACATGCTAGACCCATGAATGCCAAGGAATGGAACAGTAGTATGTGGATCTAATCTGAAGCTCCCTTAAATTTTAATTCTGGGGCATATATTAAAGGGGTTAAATGAGTCAAAGCATATTCTTCACTTCAGTTCTATGAATTATATGAGCTGTTTTACTAAAAACAAATTATACATACATATACATACATCCCTTTAAAAATTCCACATCAAGTTATAATTTCTTTTATAGAACACTGGTTACAAAAACAACCTAGTGAGCATCAGAGTCATACAAGCATGGTCGGCATGTGGCAAGGTTATGTGTTCATTCAACAACCCAGCATTTGGACAGGTGTCTAATGACTGAACACTTGGAAGATTAAAGTAATTTAAAAGTACTAATAAGAAGCACATCACCTCTGAATCAAAATCCATTAATAAAACTATCTTGTCCTTGATAGAGCTGAAAAGATTATGCTTGTGGATCAACTGGAAAACATCTTTATGTCTCAGTGTTAGGTAGATCTCCAGAGCGTTGCCATAGTTTTTGTCATAGGTGTACCTGGTGACACAAAATTGTTTACATGCTATTCATCAATATCTCTAAAATACACACATTATGTTTTATATTAAAAACTGAAACCCTGTTCAGAGAGAAACGTTAAAGTTTATTTTGAAAAATAGTCCTAGTGATTTAACAATATATGACCAGTAAATATTTCTTAGAATCATGCCTTTCATTGTACCAACATTCACACTATTTATATTTATACTATTCAAGTAATAAGATTTTTCTTTATTATGGGCTCAACTTTAAAAGTTTTACAGAAATCCATATTCCTGACAATAAAGCTGTAATTCAGAATGAGGGAAATATTCCTCTTAGCAATAGAAAAATAAGTTAAAATTCTTTTTTTTTTTTGAGACAGGATTTTGCTCTGCAGTTCAGGCTGGCCTTAAGTTCACTTTGTAGCCCAGGTTGGTCTCGAACTTGCAGGATCCTCCTGCCTCAGCTTTCTGAGTGCTGGGATTAAAATTCTTAAGTGGTGTTAAACTGACAAAAGGTTATATTCCCAATGCTTATCTGAGTGTTGTATAAAATTAAAGATGTGCCTTTCCACAGAAACACCATTGTCCACATTAGTGACATCCCCAAGCCAGCTGAACAGAAATTACATTATCTGCTCCTTATTAACAATGCTACAGGATGCAAGGGGCATCCAGAACAGTGTTTCCAAGAGAAAACAGATTACATTCAACTTGGCATGCACAAACATAATTTCCTTCTCTATGGAAAACCTAACACAGCCCTGACACCCTGGCCACTCTGGTGTGATTTCCCCAGTGTGGGACAAACACGGTGGGAGGGGGAAGTCTGTGGAGGTGGGGTGCTACGGGCTGAAGCAGAAACTGTCTTCTTTGATGGATCTGCAGGATACTTCATGTTCCTCTAGACTGAGGCTCCTGGAAGGGGTATCTTACCTTTGTATCACAGGCATCTGGCACAAAGCCAGATGAAGGTGCCTAATAAATACAAAATGTGACAATGAAGCTTCTACTTCCTGAGGCCTGACTTAGGGGTCAGTTTCCCTGCTTGGACATCTCACTTAAAGCTAGAATTATCCCATGAGGAACCCCTACCTGTGACCTTATAAATAAGAAGTCTGATGTTTGCAAGAGTAACTGGTTTCAAGAATAGCAGAATTCTCAGCCTGGTCACTGGAAAGCCATTTTGGTTGGAGTTGTGACCTTAGGTCACACCTGGACCCTTCATTCCTCACTCCATTCCCCTGCTCTGCTCCTGGCTGTCATGAACTAAGCAGCTTGGCTCCCCCACACCTTTCTGCCATGACATTCCAGCCTTGGAACTGGCTGACTATGCGTCCTTGGGTCTAATACCTGGCAGGGTGGCCTTCTGTCTCCTAATCACTGCCTCTCCCCTCTCCAAGAGACTCATCACATCTGTACAGCTTCACACGTGTCCACACTTTTCAGTTACTCATTTAAGACTTATGAAAGTTTTTTTTTTTTTTTTAAATTAAGATCGAGTATAAGGACATTGTAAAAATAGGCTTTTGGTGTTTGTCAAAACTAAAGTATGGAACATTTTTCAATGTAGGTTGATTTGCAAAAAGGAAACAAATATACTCACAATTCTGCCAGGGTTTTAAGTAAAGTCTTGTTTTGACTATCTTTCTTCAGGTGATCTCGAACTGCTTGAACTATTACTGAATTGTTGTACAGATCTCCAGGCCATTCACGGATCAATGTAGCAAAACCCTAAGCAAAGGGTACAGTAGAAAATGAACACTCTTTAAGTAGGTGTGATACAACAACATACATAGACTGGGTTTTGTCCATGATTCCTGGCTTGTAACTCCTCCACAAGAAAAGCCAAATATGACATCCAAGCTTAATTGTCAACTTGATTGGCTTGGGAGCCACACAGGGGGTAGAGCACACTACTGCATGCATCTGAGTGGGTCACAGAGCCATGGCCTTGGGGTTTGTATCTGGTCCCTGGCCCCTTCCTCTTTGGCAGTGTTCCCCTGCTCTGCTTCCTGACCACTGTGAACCAAACAGCTTTGCTTTGCTCCACCACACCCTTCAGCCATGATGTTTCTGCCTCAGCGCCAGTCAACCAATCACTGAATCTTCCGAAATCATGAACCAAATCTCTCCTCCTTTAGGTTGTGAGCATTGGGTATTGTGTCCCAGCAATGAGAAAGCTAATACATTACACAAACTTAAATTGTGGGCTATAAGACCCTCTTCACTCTAGAGATGTCCTGTCCACATCCCAAGAAGGAATGCTGAAACAAGTCTGAATGGATAGAGCTCACTGGATTTTCACCCTCCACCTTTTAGCAATCATGCCTACACAAGGAAATCTCCACAAAAACCCAAAAGGGTGGGTTCAGAGAATTTCCAAATGGTCAGCCAAAGACCAAGACCTGCCTGGACGAGTAGGGGTGCTCCAGAGACGGCATGGAAGCACTGCACTCTTCCCACACACTTTGCCTTGTGCATCTCTTGATCTGTATCACTTGGCTGGTAATATCCTTTACAGTAAGATGGTGTCTGCCTGAGGGCTGTGAAAACCTTGATTTATAGATTCTTGTCCAGAAGCCCGGGGACTTCCAACCTGAAGTTTCCACTGGCAAAGCAGAGGGTGGGGGCTGGGTGAGATATGACCTTGGAGACTGAGCTCTTGACCTGTGGGCTCAGGTGCTCTGTCCAGGTTCAGTGTCAGAAGGGCACTGGGTTACAGGACAGGATGCCAGGTGGGGCCTGCTTCAGAGCTGATGGTTGCTTGCTGTGGGGCAGACACTCTCTACATCTGCTGAGGCCACAGAAGTCTTCTATGCCCAGTGTTGGGGGACGAGAATAGAGGACAAATGGTTTGTTTTTCTAGTGCAAAAACAATCCAAATAGTTTAAACAATGCTTAAAAGTGTTCATGTAAAAGACTGAGCAAAGGGATGAAAATTCTGGTCAATAAACATTGCATCTATTTTCTCACTATGACTTACAGGGTGGCAAAGGCAGGGATGGAGAATCTCATTTATTGATCCTGGGAAGTGGCAGTGTTTACCCCTTCTGTCCTTTTTTTCTCATACAGTAGGTTGAATCTAGGGAATTCCAACTGAACTATACCCCCAACCCCTTTAATTTTTTTTTTTAAATTTTGAGATAGAGTCTTGTTCAATTGCTAAATTCTCCAAGCTGTGTTCAAATTGTGGCCCTCCTGTCCAACTTCCCAGAGTGCTGAGATTACAGGTGTGTACCACCACACCCAAGCCACACCCCTATTTCATAAACTCTGCAACTAAGAAAAGGCACATGGCTCCTTCCATAAAGTACTTGGACTTGTACTATACTCATTCTGGACTAACTATAATAACTGGATGACATCTTCGACATTTTTTCAGATATATCTAAGCTACTTTCCTTGACACCTTCTTTGCATATTAGCTCTGAACATGCAGTTGTGCAATGCACACCCAACACAACTGTGCACAGCAGCCCTCCTTGGGGAAGAGCTGCTCTCACAATGAAAGCACCTGGCATCGTCATACCTTTAACAAGTTACCGTGTACTCCTCTGGTTTCTACCCTGGTTCGTGCTGGGATTTAGAACTATGGCTCAAGTCCTATCCCCTACCTCTGAGCCTGGCTATCCACGGATCTCAAATTTTGTAGTTCAGACAGAAACTCTGGATCCCTTGATTTGATCCTGTTTCCCTCTTGCAGCCGATTCCAGGCCAGTAGCCTGGATAGTATCTGCCTTCCTGACTTCCAACTTTAGCTCTTACACTTTGTAACTCATGGTACAGTGGAAGAATTTCCTTATTGATTTTTGACCACACGTGTGTGTGTGTGTGTGTGTGTGTGTGTGTGTGTAGGGGACTTGGACATATTCAAAGATACTAATAAGCAGTAAAAATATCCTATTATTGGAAAAAAATCATATTAATGAATATTTAAATGCTTTAATGAATTTATTTAAATGTTATTCAGAAGTGAAAAGTCTGGTAGAAGTTGTTTCTGTAAAGTACCAGGATTTGATAGGAAGAAAAAGAATCTGGAACATAGTTTTTCCACAAAAGTTTCACACAATTTCAACCAAAGTAACCCCTAAAAAAAGGACAGCAAAAGGCCAGAACAACAGACCATACATTTTGCATTTGCACTGCAGCCAGGCTACACATTAGTGGGACTGCAGCTTCACTTCAGATAGTTTCGGGAGGAGATTTGATCACAGCTTCAAAATATTCATGAAACAAAAACGAAACCATGGGTCAAGCGTCTTATTTTTAAGACACTATACAATGTGTAAGACTAAATGTGTTGTGAGGAAGGCCACCCCAACCTGTCGGCAGCCCCGAGAACAGGAATCACAGGTCAAAGGAAAGAGGAAAGTTTGTCTCCACCTTCCTTCTTTGCTGTCCATGCAACAGCCTCACAGTACTGTCAACTTCTAATATAAAGAAGACAAAACGACTGGTTGTACTAATGTGGTAAAGGCACAATGACCCCACATTAGAGGACATAACGTTTACTCCGTTTCACCTTAAGCTTCATGTACCCTCCACAAATGTATTATCTAAGAAACACTGAGGAAATCAGTGTTTCTTTAATCCATTAGGATTAGTCAGAGGGCAGGGAAAGTAGAGCGTGGCTTTGACAGAACCAGCAAAGGTTCATAACACCTCACTCCCATCACAGAAAGGGAAAGATTCAGAAGACTTCATGAGATATCACGCCATAGAAGCTAGGCATGGTGGCCTGTGCCTGTAACCCCAGCACTTTAGAGGCTGAGGCAGGAGTTCCAGGCCAGCGTGGGCAGCAGAGCAAGTTCAAAGCCAGCTTGGACTACAAAGCAAGGCCCTGTCTCAAAACACCCATACCAATCGATCAATCAACCAGTCAGTCAGTCAATCAGTCAATCATAGAGACTGTCCCACTTTTAATATGCTTACACATTTGTCATTATGAAAGACAAATTTGTCATTATGAAAGAAAATCTAACTTGTTAAAACAATTCTGCTAGGTTGTACATCAATAGACAAAGCTATATGCATATGACTAGAACTTTCATACAAGTCACAAAGCATCACTGGTCAAAGAAAAGCATACTGCTTATGTCTTTTGAGGAAGAAAAGAAAACTGAGAAGTCAGCAGTCCAAAGAGGTACAGTTTTGTGGGTTTTTCTTTCTTTCTTTTTTTGGTAATCTGATCATTAGTATTCTGTTAGCAGCAGAAATGCATTCATGTGTATGTGATTTAGAGGTTGTTACAGAATGCTGTTTGATTATGTGATAATTTAATTCAAAATAAAATAGTAAGCTAACAGTGGAAGCTAAAATATGAATTACTTAGCTTATAACAATAAAAAATTACTTACAGCTTTCTTAATACTACAACCCAGGCACACATCCTACAACGTTCAGGAGAAAACATCTACAAGCTTGAGGTTTAAGCCATGCTATTTCTCTCAGACTCAGTGAAAAGTTTTCCAGATATTGTAACAATAAATAGGCTAACTCTGATGATTCAAGATTTAAGATAATTCCTTTAAGAGTCAGTGTATGTGGAGGGATTGTATCAGTATCATAAAAGATAAAAGTTCTAGATTTAACCTTTCCCATCAAGAACAAACAAAATGACCACATTGGAACACCATACCTCATAATCACTTTCCAAAAATTCATGTAAGATCATTTCATAGATGAGTGGTTTCAGCACTGGATCCCCTCTTGGCAAATAAGGACTAATAGCCTAGGGAAGGAAAAGGAAAAGGAAAATGAACGTGGAACCCTTTAGAAATTGGTAAAACAGCCTATGATCCAAGCTACTTGGGAGGCTGAGGCAAGTTCAAGGCCAGCCCGGACAACTTAGTGAGACCCTGTCTAACAACAACAAAGAAAGAGGTGGCAAAACAAAACTGTGTTCCAGTTATACAGAGAACATAAAAGTATATAATTACTTTAAAAATTTAAGGCAGCTGGGCATGGTGGTGCACACGTGTAATCCCAGCACCTGGGAGGCCGAGGCAAGAAGATTGTTGTGAGTTTGAGGCCAGCCTGGGCTACATAGTGAGTTCAAGGCCAGCCTGAACTACTATATAGTGAGAGCCTGTCTCAATAGAAAAAAAAAAAAATTATGGCAACACAATACTTTGAAAAGTTATTCTAAAAAGATTCAGATAAACTCTCCTTTCTAAGCACAAATTAGAATAAATTTTCAAAACTATGAGATTACAAAAGACAACTTCTTACATAATCAAAGGGCCTAGTTCACATCCATTCATCTCTCCTTAAGTAAGTATATCAACCTTCAACACACAATCATCTTTTGAAATTAGGAAAAACACACCTCGCATTCTTAGACTGCTTCCAAATACTGTTCAATTTTCCTCTAGCACCCTATGCTCCACCTCCAGGCTCTGTACTGGGGATGGGGCAGCAGGGTAACCATAGCCAAGGGGCTCATGGTCCCAGAGGAAAGACTTGCAGAGACTCAGATAGTGGAGATACCATGTGGTGAGTGTTATGAGAGCAGGATCAACACAGTGCTCTGGGTGCACAGAAAAATTTAATTTTATCCTTTGGTGCAGTGCTGAGGTTGAAGCCAGGGCCTTGGGCATTGCTGGACAAGCATCTCCCATGGAACCACATCCCATGCCACAGGGGAGAACCTTGCCTCCTCAGGCCCTGGATCTATTAGGGAAGAAAGAATGGGAGAGGCATCTGGCAGGGGAGCAGCAGGAGCAATGCCAGGAAGCCATGAACATGCATCTGTGTTTGGGGCCAGAGAGATTCATAGACTTGAGACAGAGGTGCCAGATGGCAGAGGAGGCTGTGGGAAGAGAGGCAGGGGTATCAGGGGAATAATTTCAATTTTAGTCCAGGGGCAGGAGAAAAGCAACAGGTAACAGGGAAACAGGATTCCAGATTCAGTTTTCAAATAGGTAATTTCAGCTAGGATACCCTAGATCCATCAAAGTGCTCATACAACGGCCCCAGAGAGCTAAGCAGTAAGGGGTGGGTAGATGCGTAAAGAGACAGGAACATAGCTACTATGTACTGTGAACAAACACTAATTAAAAAAAGGAGGAAAATGGTACTAGGGGGCAAAAGGAGAGATCAGTTGGTATTGACATGGTCAGAGTAACAAGAACTGAGGTTAAAGGAATGATGAGGTGAGTCTCACAGACTCATAAAGGTGAGTCTCACAGACTCAGTGGCTCTGAGCTGTAAGTACGGGAGAATGGGTCTGTTATGTGTTACAAACACAAATTCAAAGGACGATCAAACCGGGGGAAGAAACAGATTTACAATAATTTGCATTATCATGATCAGTAGTATAAACAAACAACCACAGCACACATCCAGATGTCTGGATCATGGAGCCATCAGGCAAACAGGGCCACAAGACTAGAGAAAAACCTTCCAGCAACAGCCCAATAAATTCAACAAGAATAACTGGGATTTTAATAAAGCATATTCAAATTCAAGGCCAGCCTGGGCAATTAAGGGCTTTGGTGAGACCAGGCGGCTGGATCTAGAGCATGTAACACTGGGATTGATTCGTGGTGCAGTGCTAGGATTAAGGGTGTGAGTGCTGCCTATCCTAAAGGCGAGCAGCCTGGATATAAGGGACAGAAAGAGACTTGTCGCTTGTTGCTTGGTTGCTTTGGCAGTCTTCTGCCTGCCTCTCTGCAATGCCACCTGCCTTGGAGCCAGCCAACTATGGACTGAAACCTCTGTGAGCCAAATAACCCTCTCCTCTTTAAATATGAGTATCAGGTATTTTGCCCCAGTAATGGGAAAAGTAACTAAGACATAGGTTTATATTTTGAAACTAGTTTCTGAAAGTTTGATTCCTTCCCGCTGAGATACTTCCCAATAAAGAACTACCACTACCTTTGTTTTATATCCATCTAAATGTACCACATGTAAACATTAAGTTAAAAATTAAACTCTGCTTACCTTAAGCTGTCCAATTTCTTTAAATTTATAAACTTCATATTCCCAGAGTGCTGCATTTTTCCCAAGAATTTTCTGGCATTTGCTGGCAGTAAAAATATTCCGGGAGAAAGAAAGTATTAAAAAAAAAAATAGAATAAATAGATATTTTTCCCCAGTGGTTTTGATAAATCTTTCTTTACAGAGTTCTGACAAATTTCTATTTTGCGCTAATGAACAAACACTGAGCACAAAAAAATCATAAAAATTATACAGAATACTTACAATGATGAGACTCTTTCAGAAGCATACAACGAGGGCTTTTCCCAATGATTTTCCTGTTCTGAGAGTCCTATTTACCCGACTGAGCACTGCTGGTCTGGGGCCCTTCTTGACTTGAAAACTCACCATACCTCAAAGGGCCAGACGTTTCCTGAGTGGCTTTAAATAATAGGCTACAAAACCCACTTCAGGACATTAGCACCCTAGCCCAGTGTACAATCTGGAGGACTGCTTTTGTGTGAATGAAGCATTAAAGAAACACATTTCCTTAAACACTTTGGGGGTGGAGGCAGGCCTGAAGGCCGCATTTCAGGAGGGCCACACGATGGTTGGGCCACGCACAGTTCCAGTGCAGATTCTCGCGTCAGACACAGGACCACTGTGCTTTCTGTCCACTGCAGCCCCCCTGCAACTTGGGTGTGACCACTGCCATGTGCCTGCAGTTTTGTTGGAAAACAAGTCTTCCCGCAGTGTGAAGAGAGGCACTTTCTTTGAGACTGCTTTTGGAGGAAGCTTACATGGAAACAGCCCTAGACATCAGAGGATATAGGGGTCTGTGTGTGGAGCACAGGGCCAGTTGCTTACTGTCCAGTACAAGGAAGGTAACACTGGCCCATTAGAAAAGACGCCCCACGCTCTGGTTCCACTCCTGTAACCCAACCTGACACAGAGGCAGGGTGTGCTGGCCCCGTGCTGTGCTGTGAGAGCTGGGGCTGGGGATCTGGGGTGCGTGCTGACACTCCGGTCATCACGTGGCGTGGCAGTACTCTGGTCACTATGCTTTAGCATGACTCTCGTGCAGCTCCATGAAACTGGTGGGCTAACTTGCTAGCTTATAAGCAGGAAAACAATCTCAGAGCCTTCATGGTTCTTGACACTCACCTCTTTAAACAGTGAGAAAAACTGTGCTTTGGTGAATGTGAGACAGCAGGTACAGAAATGATATAATCTAGTCTGGTTAAAACCACCAATGTGCAAATATTACCCTTGTTAGAAAGATAGAAAAAAAAGCCAAGAAAATGTATGTAAACTATAATGAATGGTTTGTTGTTAATATTAGCTAATGCTGTTTATAAAGTAATAATTATGAAAATGTCATTATTACCGTGCCGCTATGTCATATTCTCCCCTCTCCACCAGGTGATTTATATATGCCAATCCGATATCCTAGGGAAAATCAAAGGAAGGAACTTCACGATTCAACGAGCAGCTGGAAAGCCGAGTCGCAGCTCCTGAGCAGGCCGCGACACTAGAGTCCCGCTTATTCCACTGACTACTACCTGTTCATAGGTCTCAGTCTGCTGTACACAATCATGCTTAGGTCTTCCTTTAGCACCTTCACACTTAAATGTATTTGCTGTTCCACACATTTTAGAATTTATAGTTCTTGAACAATAAAGTGTTACTTTAAATCTATTTTGCTGTAAGAGATTTTTCCAAGCTGTGATATTAGAAACACCAACTCACAACCCCATGTTACCATTAGAGAGAAAATTCTGCTTCCTGAGCCTTTATCTACAAAATGTGAGCTACCTACCTCCTCTGTCCCAAGTCTGAAGTTGTAAGAAAAATGAAGTGACAGACCATCATATTAAAGGGAAATGTGAAATATTAACATGAAAATGAACTAAGAAAAGCAAGTAATTTAAACCCATAAATTTGCAGATAAAAAAAGAAAGCTAGAAGCAGGTAACTGATTGGTTTCAGAGGATTCATGTTTATTTGCCCTTTCCACCTTGGTAACGAAAGGATTTGGGGTGGCCAGTATCCCTCAAAACATGAGAGAACATCTCAACTTCCCTGGAACTCTTCTTACGAAATACTATTTCCACCTGGAAGCATTTTCATGAGAAGCTTAAGCTCAGAATATGTAACAAAACTTGGATGTTATCTTTTATTTTATGAACAGAAAGGTGTATATGGAATGTCTTCCTGGATGTGGGGAAAGGTAGGAGACCATTGTTTCTCTGCATACCTAGTATGGGATTACACTCTGTGAGAAGAAATCTGTGCATCACGGCAGGCTCATTTGGGTGGAGGAAAACACCCCCCGCCCCCGTTCAATCCATTCATTTTTTTTCTTTTCTGAGTCCTGTGTAAGAAATCACATCTGAAATCCACTGGAACCTGAGTGAAGACAGGGTGTCTCACTCTCTTATTTCTCTGAAAGCCAGCCATGTACTGCGGTGTCTGTGGCGGGTCTTTCAGTCAGGTTTCGGAGCCAATCTTTCCACTCTTTCTCCTCATATCCATGTCCCCTGTTGTGCAGTTCATTCTGGGATCCTCTTTATACACATTTCCGTCAGCCTGGTTTTCTACCTCTTCCCTTGGCACACGCGTGCCGAATGTCTCTCTTACACAAAGTACAGATCCATAACCATGCCAGGATGCCAGAGCCACCAGCCTCAGTCTTTCCTCTCGCAGCTTCCATTTGCAGCTATCCTGATCATCCATCAACTCTACAATCTTCTATTCACTTTTCACTCACTACAACATGTGGAGCAGAAATAATACATAAATGGAAGATGCACTACTTTCATATTAGCAAATCTAGTGTGCTCCTGAGCTCTGGATTTTAGACGAGCTTACTGCAACAATGTATACGCATCTGCTCTTTACCCGAATGTTTTCTCAGCTCCTGTGACGAGACACACCCTTTCCCAGACTGGTCCCAAACTGTTTTATACGCATCATTTCTTGAATGACAGCAGCCCACGGGTTCCTCTGTGCTCTAATACCAAGGGCCTCCCCTGGGGGGGCGCAGAGAGGTGATCCAAACTCAAGCTTTCCACCAACATTAGTTTGCAGGTAACACTACTGAATCTATTTTGAATCAAATTTCTTTCCTGGGCTCCACCAGGACATCTCCCAGGACATCCCTATCCTTGCTGACTCCATGCAGTCTCAGTCCACGCTGCCCGGAAGCCTCCTGGCAAACCTACATCTCAGCCAGCCTCCCTCACACAATCTCCACTCGGATACATCTGAATGGAAGCGAGAGAGTAAACTTCTACAAGTTCCCAATGGAGCCAGGGTCCTACCTGCCTTCAGGATCTGGGTCTGGTCTAGCTGCCCACATCTGTGCCCTGGGATCCCCAAATGTCCCCTGCTCCAGGCAAGCAGGCCGCACCCTTCCCCGCTGTGCCATCCACACACTGCACTAAGGCCTGCCATGCTTTGCTTGTATCTCTGAAGAATTCCTGCTTGTTGTCCACAACTCCGACAGAACGATCAAGGATGCTCTGACTTTCTCTCCTCTCCATTCCTACATTATCGGGTTTGTGTACTCTGGGAGGTGGGCTAGTACATGGAGTTCTGGAGAGGATTTCAGAGTAGGGAAAGCACAGGAAGAAGGAAGTTGAGCTGAAACTCAAAGAGTCATAAAGATTAAGTTTCCAGTCCTCATCTGTAACTAAGGGCACTGCACTAGATGATCTCCAAGGACGCTCTTCAGGCAAAGGACATGACTTCTGTCTGCTCTCCCTCTGCACATTCGCTGTCACAGTTAGTGACTTCTGCTTTCAGTGACTGTATTTTTCCAGAGCCCAAAATGTAATAGAAATGTATTTGATACCCTAGATTAGTCTGTAACAAAATCAACTGAGTTTGTTATAATAGAGACACCAAAGCAATCCAGTTTTAAGAACCATTCTTTGATAAATGCTGTGATAATACGATTTAACCTATGACTTAAAGAAACTTTTATACACAGAACGGGGAAGCTCTGTATTGAAAGTGTATTTCGCAAATACACTTTCCAAATTATCTAAAATATCTCCTAGCAGGTCTTCGAGTTTCTTGTTTACAAGCAGAAACGTCTTTGATGAGACGAACTATTTTGACCTCACAGGTTAGAGTTAGTTTGAAATAAAATCTGAGAAGAACCTGCTCTTTGCAAATTATTTTCAGTCTCCTTAGAACTTATTAAAAGTAAGATTATGTATCAAATTTTAAAAAAATGCACACTTACCAGAATCTTATGTCTTTTAATGTTCCTTTGGCTGATTTCTGCTGCCATCAAAGCTTCCTACATGAGTATGACAAACAGAGAGGAAAAAGGGAGGGAGAGAATGGGAGAGAGTGGGAGAGAAAGACATGGTGGTCATAAACACGACATTACGTTTTAACATTCTGGACTATATGAATAAAGCCTCATTTTCCTGCAGCTTCTGCTTAAAGCATTGGAATTTTTAATGCTATGGTTGAATGAACTCATGAATTCAAACTCAAACAAAGGCATTCAACCAAAATGAAGACTTCTTTCATTTCCATTGGAATTCACTCCACATTAGGATACGGGAATCACGTTTCCTATACAAATCAAAATAAAACAAAACCTCCAAGTGTCAGAGCAACAAAGGTATCTGTCACTCTAAATCTGTATGACACACACTTGAGGAACATGTTGGTGAGGGAACGGACCACTTTTCCTTCATGTTTCAGGAAAAGTAAACTACAGGCATATGTTTCTGTGCATCTATAATTAAGCTTTGGAAAATCTGGTTTTGTTTCTATTTTGGAAAGTTTACAAGTATCAGCTTAATATAGTAATATAAAACATAAAATTATTTAAGCAATGACTGTATCAGGGCAATATGATAACTAGGTCATGAACCAGGTATCAATACCTAGAGTCTAAGCCAGTGATGGCGAACGTTTTAGAGCTTTCAGTGGTAAAAAGAGACCACTGCAGCATGTGTGTCACAGGTTCGCCATGACTGGTCTAAACACTATGTAAGTTAAAACTTCTTCTCTTCTTCAGTTCTTTCAGGTAATTTAGACTTCTAAACCATTATAGTATCTCTGTAGCTATTAAGGTGAAAAAAATTTTTGTTCTAGAACAAGGTCATATTGGGGCATTATTTATTCAAAGTTCAAGAGTGACTCAAGTAGACAGTATCATCCTATCCAAATTAGTAGTTCAAATGATCTATGTGAGCTTAAACTTGGTAGATTTATTTTCATGTACAAAATAATGAGAAAAGGAAGGATTTCACTAAAATATCCAAATAGACAACTCTGAAATACTTACTCTAACTTCCTTGAAAAAAAAAAAAATTAAAATCAAAATCAAAACTTCAGTAGACTACATCTAACTCCCTCCGTACTCCCTCTACCACTACCTCTTCCCCGACTAACAGGGAAGCCAGCAACCTGCGACCTCCTTGCAGTCTCTTCTGCCATTTCTGTGAGGGACACTGAGAAGTTATCAGCTTCCTGTGCATTTTGGCTTGGGGTACCCTGCTTCAACTAAACAGAAGACTTGCTACAAAAATCTTTTATCCTCTCTGTTCCCGACAAGGCAATACTCTGAAGAAATTAAAATCGAAACTACTTCATATTTCTTCTTCTCGAGGAGCCAGTCGATGTGATCATCCTGGTCTCGCTCCTTGGCCACGACGACATCCCTCGGACTCACGATGTAGAAGAGTGATTCCCCTTCGGAATATTCTAGAGGGGAGAGAGGAAAGAAGCAGGTGACTCCACAGTACGCACTGTGCCAAAGGCTTCAGGGGCCCCACTTAGTTTATTGATTTCAGGCTGAACAGGAACTTGTCTATCTCTGCAGTGAGTGCATTTGGCTCTGGTGGAAGGCAAGAGAAGGAGACATAATATACTCCAGTGCTTTTCAATAAATTTAAGTGTACAATTATGTGAAAGGGGAAGCAAGGAAAGAAGGCAAAAAGGAAAGAAGGAAAACGGAAGGAGGGTAGAAGAAAATACATACTACAAAACCTAAAACACTAAGGTGGGTTTAAAATTCTATATTTAATATATTAACCCTGTGACTTCAGATGAAAATAGTACTCGAAATTTTCCATGTCTGTTGCATATGAGAACTAATCTACTGTATATAAAGTTTATTTATGGCCGTTTACAGCATTGTTCTATTTTTATGGAACAATTACACCCTGCAGTCAGCAATAAATGTTTCCTTTTCATCAAGGTCAAGGCCATCAAAAGCGTAAATGACAGGTGCCCGGCCAGGGGACATAATCTATCATTTCAGCATGGTGTGTACAATGCCAATGGTCAGGGTTTCTTGCAGAATTCAACTATAAAACCTGTTTGGAAGAGTTTCTCAGTGTGCAGCCGAGTTTGCTCTGAGTAAAATACCTAGACTGGACACTCCTCCAACTTTTTACGGGGCTTCATATAACAAAGTTCAAATACCTACAGACTATTTCTTTGGCCAAAATGAGAACTGAAAATGTTCTTACAAAATGTCAGTTGTCTTTAATACAGGAAAGAATTTCTAAAAAGGCTAACTATTCTGTGTTTCTCAATGTATTTTATAATGAAATGATATTCAATCATGGACGTCCTTCCGTGGCTAAGTAGCAGATGCTCTCCTTTAGTTTCTGAGCAGGGAGTGCTAAGTGCACTCACCCATCCACTCCAGTCTTCACCCAAGATCCACTCAGGTTGGGTCCCAGCGTTCAGTCACAAACACAACCACATCCTCTCTGCCATCCCAAAGGTACAGGTGGGATGATCCAATAGCCACCGTCACACTGCTTCACATCAATTTAAACCTTTAGGACAATGGAAACCATACAACAAAAAACGAGGAGCCCACTTCTTGTCTCCGTCCTTGTCTCAGCTCTATCTTCCCTTCTGCTACTGGAGCACAGGCAAGCTCTGCAGTATCTCTGGAACTGGATGCTCCGGTTTCTAACAGAGGAGGCCAGCCCATTCCCTGAGATCCTTTCAGTACCTTGATTTAAATTCTTCAAGTGGTGGCATATGCCTGTAATCCCAGCACTCTTGGAGGCAGAGGCAGGAGGATGACAGGTTTGAGTCCAGCCTAAGCACAGCAAGGAAGGGAGACCATGTCTCAAAATAAAAAGTAAAAAGAGGGCTGGGGATATAGCTCAATGTGAAGGTCACCACAAAATAAATGAATGAACACATAAATAAACAAATTCCCCTTTGGGTGAGTTCAGTACAGAACAGCAAATCCCTTAAGAAGCCCTAGGACCCAGATCTTTCATGTCACTTACCTAAATGGTAATCCCTGCACTCATTCTCCTGGAAGCCCCTGACTGTCAAAGCGTCAGAGGAGATCTCCTCACAAGTCTCGGGGAGCGGCTGGATGATGTCCAGTCTTGGCCTGGCACAGTATTCTCTTTCCTAGGGGCAGAAAGACAGGGAGAGGCGCATTTTTATTACACTGCTGTAATCATACAATTTAATTCAGGTTGGGCATGCTTGCTTTGGTTTCATCACTTTGGCCCACAGAAACCTTTCTGACTGCCTGTCACGGACAGCTCCTCACACTGTCCCATTTTCTGACTTTTTTGTGAGATAAACAGGCCTGTGTTATGTAGGCACCACAGTCTACTCTATCCCAGGAAAATGGTGGCCAAAGACAGCAACTTAGATGATTTCACTGTATCTCTTTTACATGAATGGGATGAAAAGTAAATAATGTCACAAACTACTCCGTCATCCTGGCAAGCTGAAAGGCCAAACATGCAGAGTCAACTCTCAATCCCATCTTGCTGAGATGATGGAAAGGCTCTACATTTGCACCGACTAACATGGCAGACACGTGACACAGGCAGCTATTAGAACATATGAACTGTTACCAGTGTAACCGAGAAATCCAATCTTTAATTTTACTTGATTCTACTTAGTTTAAATGTAAGCAACCATGCACAGCTGGATACTATAGTTTTGGACAGTGAAGTTCTCGATGAAGACAGAGGGGAAAAGATGAGCTAACATTTGCTGAGGACCTGTGGCAACTCAACAAAACTAGCAGGTGATTATATACAAGCTGCTCACTGGATATTAAAATGAACACTGCAAAATTCAGCATTATTATTCCTAATCATAATAAAGTAACCAGGATCAAAAATACTAACTAAGGTTAAAGCTAACTAAGTCAAAGATAGGAGCAAAATACATGGGAAAACCGGGACTTAAGATGGACCTGGGATTTGAAGTTAAGTGTGTTCTACTTTATTTTTACTTTTCTGGTACCAGGAATCGAACTCACAACCTCACCCTTGCCAGGCAAGCGCTGTGCTGCTGAGCTATATCCGGGGCGTGTGCTCTGTTTTAAATGTTAATGACCTGTAAGGATTTGGCACATAAGCATAAAACACATACTTGAATTCATGTTGAAACTAAGAATACCTCAAGCACTTTGACAGTGGTGTTGGGAAGACACAATGAGAGGAACCAAATGGGAAAAAAAAATTCAGAACTATAACAGCTCTCCGAGTTTCCTAAATGAAACAATAAACCTGGATTTGCTGACCCATTTTGTTGGAAAACTGAGAAGCAATTCCATCCGCTTCCCATCTCACACACTGAAAACATTCCAGAAATAAAACAGCACTATAAAAGGACAGCTACTAGGACAAAGAAACTACTGAATATATAGTATAACTTAACAGACTTGTGGGGAAATGAGAAAGTTCTCAACTTTTAAACAGAAAAAAAGTCAAGGTAAAACTGAAGAATTTAAATGTTTAAAAAACTGAATATAATAACAGTGATAAAATAAAAACCAGAGTGGTAAATGAGAAAAAATATTTGAATAACAACAACAACAAAGTAAAACCACCTCACTAAAGTATATAAAAATCTCTTTTATATGTGATTCATCTCATTTTACAACCTTTGTCCCTGGCTAAACAGGCGGCCAGGAGGGAAGGGACTTCTCAACAGCAGGATCTACTCTGGATGATCACTGATCCCTAGTGCCTGGCACAATTCATTTATTAATGAAAGAAAGAAAAGCAAAACATTGGGGAATGGCCTAATAAATTAAGGTATATCCACCAGATGGAATGGTGCACAACTAATAAACACTGTACTGATGAAATCACACGCATACAGAGCGAAGGAGCAACATGCAGAAGAAGAGGGCAGTAGGAGGAGCACGCAGCTGGAATGACACAAACACAGGCACGTTTGTAAAAGGCATCACATGGGAAATACTTCAGAGCTAATACTGAATGATGACAAAGTAAATTCTATTTAATGGAGTTAAGTGTCTTTTCAATATGAAAAAAGAAAAAGGGGTCAGAATGGCCTGAAGCCAGCCACTTTATTCCTTTTGCCTTAAATTTTTATTAGCTTATTCTGTGTTTAACGATTTAAGGTGTACTGTGGTAGTAGATAAAACGAGCTTCTAAATACACCAGGACAAACATTTTAAGTCATCACCAACACCTTCACTTCTTCCTCTGAAAAAATTTTATTTTCTAATTTGCTCTCTAGGGCTGGCCTTTCTTTGGCTTTTATTTCTTTCCAATACTCTTTTATTAACAAAGGTTTCCTTTTCTTCTATCCTTATTTTTCGGTCAGCTGTTTATCACACTTTCCCCTTTTCATTTTACTGCTTTTTTCCTGAATTCTTTCAATCACATTCTCAGTTTTTTCCACATTCTTCATCGGAAAGCATTCTATTTACCCCCTCAGGAGCCACTGCTGTTCTTTATTTCCAAAAAATAAATAAAATAATAATAAACTGATGTCCTGCAACAGGGCTAGAAGCCAACCCTATCGATTTTAGGAGGTTGGAGTGTTCACTTAGGTCTACAGCACTGCATTGCCTAGCAACATGGGCACCCAGAGCTCCAGTTACTATAGTGATGGCTCTTAATGCAAGTGCTTGCTCAGGGAAGTGCTCGAGTGCAGCTACAACTTCAATACAAGGGCTCCCAGGGCTTTTCTCCCCCATTTTATTCTGTGCCATTGGCGGGGGGGGGGGGGGCAGGGATAAAGGAAGAAGGAGATACGAACAATGAATACTCACTTGTCTATTTACCATAAAGAGATAGAGCATCAGTTGCAATTTCTTTTATATACAATAACCAAATGAAAATTCCTTACAATAAAACTGTGCCTTCATCCCCTTCCTGGCAGCACCCTGGACTCTAACAATACAGACAGGCTGGCGATGGGGCCTCCCAGGGACAGCAAGTGCACCCGCCCCTCTGCTGGACCCCAGTAATGCTGGCTTTATGCCCGATGAGCTGCTGTTTCTATCGGCCACATATTTCAATATACTATCATTTACACTGATAACTGAGAGTTAGCATCAGTTCATTTCAAAGCAATGATCAAGCTGCTTGGAATCACTAGGCCACTGGGAAGCAAACCAATACATCGGGACCACAGGAAATAATGAACAGGCCTTTCCATAATTCCTTCTGACCACAGGGACCCCTGTTGTTGTAGCCAATCAACTTCACCGCTGTCATTTCTGCTAATGTGCAGTGTCAGCTCAGTTTCTGTGCCTTTCAGCAAAAGGAATCCTTCATTCCTTTCTACTAAAATACCAAGAGACTGATGAAAGAAAGAAAGAAGAAAATGACTCTCTTCTCTGCTCAACAAAAGGAACAAAGACAGGCAATGTGAGGAGCTTCTGGAGGCAAACATGTTAGGTCTCTGGGGTCACCTCTGCAGTCTCCTTTTAGAGGTCAAGAAGTTCTGTCCAGATGACAGAGGGCAGATTCCTTTGACAGGTAACATGACCTGGGTGTGACGCTACAAACGAACCCCCAAGTTCCTCTGCCCCCAGGGAGAAAATAATTACCGTCTTTTCTGAAACCTCCTTTACATAGGAAAGTACGACAAGCTGGTCACAGAGAGGCGCAAGTCCACTGATGTAGAATTCAGTTTCGAACTGAGACACTGCAAGAAAGAAAAAAAGAAGATGTGAGACTCACCATTAAAAGGAACAAACAGCAACACACAATCAGGATCCATCAACTCAGATGCTAGATAGAGCCTTTTTAAAAAGAAATGACCTATATTTAAGGGATGATCCATATTCAAGGAGATGAAGGTGCTAACGAGCTTGATTCGGTCATTGCACATTGTATCCATGTATCAAATCAGCACTGTACCCCATAAATATGTACAATTAGGTGTCAATTTAAGAAGGTAACATAAACCTGTTTTCACCATGCAGTACAGAGGTTGCTTCCCTATAATTAGGACTGGGAAGGATATATGGGAACTGAGACTTTAACATTCCCATCATCAACAAAAATGAACCTTAGGACAATAGTATCATAAGTGAGGCTGTGCCAAGGCAGTTAAAAAAATAACATGGTTAAGTCACATCAAACACTCTGGAACCCACAAAACCCAATGGAAACCATCATTAATTATAATACTATTTTTTTCAAATGTCTGAGTTTGTTTTTCAGAACTGGAGCACTACAGTGGTATAATGGTCACAAGGAATGCCCTCTATAATTGTAAAACATGATTTTTAATTTTGGTACTAAATAAAAACTTTGAAGTCAAAAAAGGGAACATACAGATTACACTATTATTAAGGATCATTATTTCTTTAGTGAAATAAAGATTAGATAAAAAGCTTCCTTTTTTAAGAAATAGTCTGTTTTAAAACTTAGAAGACATTTGATATCATTCAGGAAGTGAGTTTCATTACACAGCATCCTAAAGATCTGACAGCAGCTCAGTAAAAGAAGCATAAATATTACTGTGCTATGGCCCTAATGATCAGATGCTGTAAAACAGAAATGACTTATTTTGAGATAATGAGTTTTGGGGTCACTTGTTACACAGCAGAAGTTAGCTTATATAGTAACAGTATGGGCAGGAACTCTTCCAGGAGTCACAGGCTGCACTTACAGATCCAGTTGGGAATAAGCTCTCCTTTGGATTCATCCCATTTTCCAAGAGTTTCTTGATTCAGACCATCTACACAGCTCTGGGATTAGCTGCACTTAGTTAATGTCTACAATGAAATTACTCTTTTCCCACATAGGGGAACTCAGTGAATCATACTGGAAACAATATTGATGTGAAGTCAAGAAATCTCGGTTATAACTTCTACTAAATTGAACTTGAACAAGTCATTTAACTTCCGTGGTCTTAACTTTTCCCATCTATGATATATAGGAATAAGAGTAGAAATAAAAATCATAACGTGGATGAAATGAGGGCCACCAAACTTTTCTTCCTCCTCTCCCTCTGCCTTGCACAGGACTCAGAGTTCCTTGTCTGCCAACCTTTGTCTTCTCCTTACACAAATGTTTCTGCAATTTAACTTTCACACTAAAACAGGCAACAAACAATTTCCTAAATAGTTACCAACATAACCTTTAAAAAGGATGGTATTCTTACACTTTGTCCTTGATTAGAAAGATCACTTAAGTGATCATGGGGTCCTGGGAAAAATTACAAAATGTGATCCAAAAGGAGGTTCTGGTCCCAGTTCCCCATTAACATAGTTCATACATAAAGAGCCTCAACCACAGGGCAGGGATGGACATACCCAGTGCAGCCAGGTTGAAGAAGGCTGCAGAGATGTCACTGTGCTATGCTGAGGTGGAGACAGGTGGGGGTGAGCTGGAGTATTACAGACACTGTTGAACAGCATGAGGCCACAGGACCCAGTGACGCAGAAGGTGAGATATCACCTTCTAGAAGATATACTCTACAGGCAAGTGAACAGGAGGTTTTGGTTGCCATCACTTCTGACTGGCAAAATAGGCATGGGTTCTATTTTAGCAAATCAAGATCCTTCACTGAAATGTTACCACACAGTTTCTCTGCCAGCAGTCTGGGTGAAGAACAAAGAATCAGCAATGCTGCAGGAACCCTTCTTTCTCAGGAGGACCCCAAGGAGGTCTTGTTGTGCTTGTTTTCCCCAGGCACCCGCAAAAAACATGACCCTATCACAAAACGTGGTGGGTGAGCCAAGCATTCTCTGCATTCGGGAAACCAATTGGGCTGCCCAGGCTCGCGGACAGGCAGTTGGAGTGCCTCCTAAACATAACCAAATATTCACCAATACCTGAGTTTTATGAATGAGCTGTAAGATGCAGAACAGAGAAGCTAGAAAATAGACCTACCCCAACCTTCCCTCCCCTACATCCCTATTTGCTAGCCCGCAACAGCTTGCGTGAACAAGTTTGAAAATTTCATGGTCTCTAAGAGCACAGCGGAAACTCAATAATGTGTTCTTGAAGAAAATAAGATTGCAGAAGTGAGTTCTCCATTCCAGACACTGTTCAGTACTTATTTGTTAAGTACTAAACTCATCAGACTTTGCAACTTGAGTGTTAGTAATAATTTTGACAGACTACATATAATAGTAGCAAATTACAAACACTAATAATGCTATTTAGAAAAGATTTTGTGGCTAAGATTGCATGTATCAAGATTTCCAGAGGCACAGAAACAAGTTATTCACATCCAGATAAAACTAAAACATTCTTTTTGTTAAAATAATTTAATATCAACACATCAGCATAAAGAAAACAAAACTGCAGTTATATTAACCCAGTATGACTCACAAATTTAGAGCTTTGAATGGCTGTTTATCTTAGCTGTGAGTACTCTACCATGCCTTAATTCCTCTCCATTAATTCCCACTAGTAATGAAATCATGTTTTTTTTAAAAAACACTTCTAATTTGCTTGTTTGTTTATGAAATGTCTGCAGCTACGCTGACTTAAAACGAGTCATTACAGAAAGGATGGCGGGGTCTTGTTCTTTCATTATTCTTTACTAACACAATGAAACATGAATGTTTTTAGGTCTAAGACAATTTAGTTTTCATATTAATGCTCAATCCAAGAGCTGACTGGAGACAGAGTTTATCAGAATAGAAGTTAAGTGAAAGAAATACTGAATGGTAATATTTATGGAGAAAATATATAAAAGTTTATGAGCTGACTTTGTTAAACATCTGCAGGTAATCACTGGCTTTGTGTTTCAAAATTCCAGTGGGCCAGTCAAAGTTTACATATTTTCCCTGAAATTTTATTCCATTGCATAAAATAATAATTTAATAGCTTTAATAAAAATCTTTTTCCCCCCCTTAGGGACACCCATTTGAATGGATTATCCAGAAAAGGTAAATAACGAAGTAAATAAAAGCAAATTATGTTGTGTTTACAGGAAACAAAACAGAACTAGAAAGCAAAAGCTGGAGGATAGAAGAGAAGAGAAAAAAAACGCAGTTTCTAGAAGGAGCACAGAAGATGGGAGCTATGCTTCAGAACAAGGTGAGGTGGGCAGTGCAGGGATAGTTCCAGGGCCCGGGCCAGGACGGCGGCCACAGATGCAGCATCTCACTGAGAACTCAGGGCAGTGGGCGTCACGGCTATGCCAGCCTTCCTCTTCCTGACAGAAGAAGGCCTTGTACTCTGGTTTATTCCAGAGCACAGAGCATGCCTAGCCTCTGCTCAAAGAAGTAATTTAAGGCAAAGGAAGTACAGACAGTGCCCAGGTGGATTAAGAGAGAAAAGTTTCAAAAGGGCTGTTCACATGGAAATTCTTTTCAGCCAAGTCTCCTGGATCCAGAATGAGCACCAGAGTAACACAATTCTGTGCAGTCCTGATCCAGAAGCGGGGCTGGAATTTTCGCTCAATGCTGCCCAGCAGAAATATAATGCAAGCCAAAAGCACAAGTTACATATACAATTTTCATTAAATTTTCTATTATCACAATAAGGAGCAAAAGCTTTGAAAGAGGGGTCACTTTAATAATGTACAAGGTATGATTGAAAAGCACAGGGATGTTTACATTTTAAAAAACTAAAGTAAAAGTGACACTGCTATCAATCCCCTCAAAATCCTCTCCCTTGCTTTAAATACACTCATCTCATTGTTCCTGTCACTTTCCAAAGGTCTGAAGTATTCTTGGACAGTTGCACTGTCCTGGCTGCCTGTAGGCCCTGAACTGACTCAAAACAGTTCCCTTTAATAGTCATTTTTACTTTGGGGAAGAGCCAGAAGTCACATGGTGCTAGATCCACTGAGTAAGGTGGATGAGGACACATTATCATGTTTCTTTTTTTTTTTTTTTTCCCGGTACCGGGAATCGAACTCACGACCTTGCGCTTGCCAGGCAGGCGCTGTGCCGCTGAGCTAAATCCCCAGCCCCTACATTATCATGTTTCTATGAGCCCACCCAACCACTGGCACTTGGCAGCAGCATTCACCAAATTTTTGGTGAGCAACAAAAACGGACTTTCAGGACCGCTTCAGAAAGTGGAAGAACAATGGAATAAGGTGTGTTCCAAGCAATGGGGAGTATTCTGGGGGGTATAAGTGGCAATGTGTCTTTCACTGTAAGAATTTTTAAAAATTTAAGCATTCAGTGTACATGTTGATTACCCCTTGCATTTAATGAAACATATCCAAATTTTATCATTTCAACATGTAATGACTCCAGAAGTTATTTAATGAGATTCTACACCTTCTATTTTCATACTAAGATTTTAAAACCTAGTAAAGGCCACATTGCAACCTTCCACCACAAAAAAAGCCACAGTACAAAGATCCAGGGGCCTCATGTGGTCAGTGAGGACTGTGTTAGTGCAGTCCCAGGGTTTTCTCTTCTTTGTCTTTAAAGTCCAGTAATTTTATGAGGATGTATCTGTTGTTGTTTGTTTTGTCTTTTGTGTGCCAGGAAAGGAGCCCAGGCCCTCACACGTGCCGGCAGGCACTCCACCACTGAGCCCCACCCTAGCCCCTCCAATAGTGATGGCAAACCTATGGCACGCGTGCTGCCACTGGCTGTTATCACTGAAAACTGCAAGGTTTGCCATCACTGTGCTAGAAGGTACCTAAATGTCATGCACCACGGATCTAACTTCAGATACACAGTGTCTTCTTTTAATTCATAGTTTTATGTTCTGTTTTTT